CATACAAATAGGAGGAATAGATTCAGCAGATCATAACCTTCACAGAGATATGTTATATGGCATAAGTAGCATAAAACATATTCTAGTTTTGTCATATATACATTTATAAGCAAATTTCCATAAAGCCTTATGGGGTGCAACATCACACCTTGCTTAGTGAGTGCTGTTCAGTTAAGGGTGACCAGTGCTTAATTTGTAATGAAAGAGGTGCCAGGGCTCAAGCAAGTTTTTTACTTTTGTAACTGATGCAGCAAGCCCAGAGGTCCCAGGGCTATGAACTGCCAAGCCTAGAGGTGCTAGGCTCAGCCCTGGCAAAAATTAAGCATTGAGGGTGACCCCCTCAATCAGGACAGGCTAAGTATAGTTCTGCTGTCTTTTACTCATACAATAAGGGTAACAACATTCCATGACCCCCACATTCAATACTAAAGTCATTTTTAACCCAACACCAGCCAAAACTGATCACTTGGACAACACAAGCTCTGTCTGCTGGATACCTAGGTACAGTAGGTGAGTTCATGTAAATACAGTCTGGTCCTAAAGCCTTCCCTCCCTCCCTTGGCTCATCACTAGCTGTCAGGGAAGAGCTCATTCAGACATTGCTTACAAATTATAATTTGAAATTATAAGGTTGGCCAACATTGTCGAAACAAATCTGCCAACATTGTCAGAAAAAACAACAGCTGCATGAAGACAAGATGCTAGTCTTTGTTCATACTTTTCAAACCTATTACACTTTTCCAGGTACAAGTATTTTATCATACACTGTATATGCTTTTAAAGTGTGTATTAATGTTTATATTTCAATTACAATTTCCAACCAATGACTCAATTGGTAACAATGCATGTGACCAGTTGACCATTAGGGGGGTGTTGGGGAAATTCAGAGGGGTGTAGGGAAATCCCTGCCTGCATGGGCATGGGCGACAGGTTTGTATAATTTTTGGTGGTGCCCAGAACAGGTTGAAGCAGAGCGTCCCGTCCATAGGACATAAGAACATAAGAGGAAGACCAAAGACAGGGTAGGCCCACTG